CGGGTCTGAAAGTAAACAGAAATTGAACATTATTCAAAAAGTTTTTCATAAAATATAAACTGACAAGTTACTCTGTACAATATCACATCTTTGTTCTTACTAGCTATTCTTATACTCCTAAGTTGACACAATATATTCACATACAGCACTGCATCCATATACTCATGAACTTCCTAACTGTACTTAACACTGACTTTCAGAGATCAGTCTATGGAGACAAGCAGCCTTTTAGTTGCTTTAAGCTGCTTGAGGAGCGGAAGTCTACTGTATGAAAGCTGGAGAGGAACTTTTTACGAGGGCCTGTAGTGATAGGACAGGAGGGAATGGCTTTAAACAGAAAGGGGGTAGATTTAGATACTAGGAAGAAATTCTTCACTACGAGGGTGGTGAGGCAGTGCAACGGGTTATCCAGAGAAGCTGTGGCTGCCCCATCCCTGGCAGTGTTCAAGGCCAGGTTGGACACAGGGGCTTGGAGCAACCTGCTCTAGTCGAAGGTGTCCCTGCCCTTGGCAGGGGTTGGAGCTGGAGGAGCTTTAAGGTCCCTTCCAACCCAAACCATTCTATGATTCTATGTACACTCCATTCCCTCTCAGGCTGTCTTCCCAAATAACCGCAAGTTTTTTCTAGAGTGCTCCACATTATGTGTACCACTGATCAACTTACGATTAGAATTGTAAATTAGATTATTACAATTAACCTAAAAAGCACATGTAACCCCTGACCTGAAAACTGCTTCTTTAACAAATATGTTAAGTGGTATGTATGCCAAACCAAATATAACTTCAAAGGCTCCCCAACACCACAGAAACCCCAGAGAAAGGTGTAGCAAAATAGTGAGAAGATTTTGGCTCTTCAGTGTCCTCGAGTAAGGCTACTGGAAAATACTCTAATTTCCCCTAACTTTCCAAATTACTGCAAATTAAAAAAAAAAAAAGTAAAAATTAACACAGACCATGAAAAAAATCAGATCATACTCAGCATTCTCTCAACAAGACAGAAAAACATAGCTTGAAATGCGATTTTTTTTTACCCTTTTAGTTTCAGTAACTATAAACCATCATTCTCTCGTATTACAGCATCATGCGGAAATTACCATCCAAAATTCTTGCAAGAAGCCTCTAAACTGCCTGTTTTGAAGCACATGAAAGCTCAACTTCCTTCAGGTAAATATGGAAAAAGTCTTTAGTACTTGCCCAAACGCTGATTGAAATTTATTTCACAATGATAAAAATGGAAAGATTTTACAATTTTCCCTACTACAGAAATAATTTCCAAAGTTAAGATTTCTTATCATAAAAAGAGTAAACTAAGTAAATTACATCTTAGAGGTTTATATTAAATATAAATGGCTTATACTTCATAACACAAAGTGTTCAGTATTTCTTTATAAAATTTAAGATACACAGGCCTTGTACATATGGCTTCATTAACATCATACAGTTTGTTCTCAGTCATATCCATTGACACAAATAGCGTCTCTACATAAAAGATGCATCTTAAGGATTTCAATGAAGTGCAGTATACTCCATTAGAGAGAACATGTTTTAATTAACAGTTCCAATACCAGTTACAGTGTACAATATTTTTACCAACCTACTGTGTTGTGATTATGCAAAATAGGAAGAGACCAAATCATATAGCACTCATCACAGTACAGACCCTAGTACAGGTTTACCACAAGAATGGCTGAAAGATTTGGCATATAATACATAACTCAACATGTTTATTAAAAAGTGGGCAACATATTCCAACAAGAAGTCAGGCTTCTGACTGCACAAAACTGCAGTCAAATTTAAGTACCATTTTGGAATCAAAAATGAATTAGGGAGTTAGATACCCATTGAAACAAACTGATCTGCAAGCAAAGTATTTTCATATCATGCTTTTGAAGGTGTGACAGATATCACACCCCCTTTTGGGGAAAGTCTAACAATATAACAAATAAACTTCATTATTTGACAGTTTCAAATTGTAGGTTTTGAGGCTAGGACATTCACATTTAGAACACTGACAGTTCAACTTCTCCATTTTAATAAAGTATTATGAAAACCCCAACACTAGACCGAGCTACCATTCAGCCTAAAAATACATGCAGTTACAGCAGTAATCCTAGCATCAAATCACTTCAGTTAGTGAAGAAGTTCAGCTACAACATCATGTACACAACTTTCTACCCAGCTGGGAAGTTACAAAAGACAGGAGCTCAAGATGCACACTGTAATATAGCAGACGGAATACATCATTTAAGCTTCCTCTAGCTTCTGGGCTTTCTAACAACACTCAACTACAACATACACATATACTCCTAAAAAAAAAGAAAAAAAAGAAAAAGAAAAAAAAACAAAAAGAAAAAAATGAAAAAGAAAAAAAGAAAAAGAAAAGAAGAAAAAGAAAAAAGAAAAAAGAAAAAGAAAAAAAAGAAAAAAAAATAAGAAAAAGAAAGAAAAACTTGCGGTTAGTTTTTCCTAGAATACAGAAATTCAGACTAAGTCACAACATTTACTTTGGTAACACAGCTCTTCGTAGATTAGGCAAGCAGCAAAACAACAGCATGAAAAAAATCTTGTTATGATAGCTGAATATTTAAACAAAGGTAGCACATAAAGCATTTCTAGCAAAACATCCAAAAGCATCATGGAGACAAAGCTGAAGCTGACTTGGATTAAAATGCGTAAGTACCAGAAACCGAACACAAATTATGAACACAGTTCACGAAGCAGAGAAAGTGTTACAAAGGTAACAGAGAATAAAGCTAGGACTGATCTCATTTTAACATGTTAGAAGTATTTTTTTAAACTCATTCTAACTCAAGAAAGAATATGTGAAATGAGCAAACAATGAGAAGTTGAACAAGACAGCTGAATGGCATTTGCAAACAATTTAAACACAGGACAAAAAATAAAGGAAAAAAATTAGAAGCTTGTGCAAGAATGCTGGAAACATGCCAGTATTCAGGGAATTATTTAGACAACAGGGGGGGTGACGATAAATCTAAGAACTAGGAGAAATTTCATATGGTTTGCTTACCAAGTCTACTGCAAAATTAGCTAATGCAATTTGGGAATGACTCCAAGCTAGGACATATTGTTTTCTCAGTAGAACTTTGGCACAACTACAATAAGAATATTACCATTTCTTCTGTGAACTAAATTAACTGAAAGACAAATTGGCAGATCTATAGAACAGTGACTGAAGGGAAAAAACTAATTAAACTTCAAAGTTAACAGACATGCCCTCTCAACCACACAGATGGAATATCTAAGTGTGTTTCAATAGCATTTAGAAAAAAAACTCCTTTCCAGTTTTACATATTAAGAGACATCTAATAATCCAGAGAAACTGGATTACACAACAAAAATTAATTCCTATAAATGAAGTACAATACATACGAAAAAAAGAAAACCCAGCATTGAAAACTAAGAACTCATGCAAGGTGAACAAGTCAGATTTCTGGCAGTACAAAGAAGAGATATAGAGGCATAATTCCCCATTTATGCATTTGTATTGGCAGATGCTGTGGATGTAAATCCATATGCACTGTAAGAGGACCACTTGATGAAGCTGGGAGAGGAGAAAGTACCTTAAAGGCAGGTATGAAGCATGGTGCTGACACAACAGATGCATCCAAAAAGGAATATTCTTTGCTTGCAAACATATTATAGTATAGAACACTGTTATGCAGCCTATTATGTAGTAAAAACTGTAGTGTGTTTTTTAAACATTCCTAATGTGGTGACAGCCTCTGAGCTCTACAGAAGAACAGCTGTTTCCAGAAGTAAATTACGGCTCTTAACTGCAAAATGCTCTTCAGTATGCATCAATTTCCATAACCAACTGCATTCTAGATTTTTAAGCTTCTGAAAGAGACATTCTGTATCCTGTAGATTTATTTTTTCCCATAGTAGGCCTTCATATTCCTAGGCTGTATACACTGATCTAGGGAAATGCAGAATGATATATTTGAAAAGAGAATGGTTTGTTCTTTTTTAGAAAAGACATCAAGTCTCAACAAGCAATGAAAGTATTACATGGTGTAATTTTAAAGTAAGTTATATCCTAATTGCACTTATATTTCTATTAAAAAAATAATTCAAATTAGTCAATGTCTGTTACAGATGAGACTTGAACAATAGACAAAACTATACAGCTGCACTGTTTTCAGTTAGTTAATCCGAAACAGACAGATAGCTGGAATTACTCATGTAAAATATATCAACATTTCTACACAAATGAAAACTACACAGACTAAAGCACAAGACATATTCAGTACAAACCCAGGAATTTTTAAATGAAACTTGAATTGACTCTATGCACTTCTTCAGAATTCTGTTCCAAGTCAGCATTTGACATCAGTTTACAGTAATTAAAAAAGACAATAAGCATCAAAGGATGGTCTGACATGGAATGAGTCCCTTCAGAATTTAAACAGTATCTACCAATATGAAACAGTTAAAAACTGAGGTGTTTAAAATATGCTGACTTCTACCCATTATAGGAGAACAATCCTCCTTATCTGGAGTAGCAATTAACATTTAAAGCTCTGTTCTTAGCAGCATTTATTCTACCATAATATGCCCATTGCATTACAGGTTGTGTACTTTATGCAGGAAATGTTTAAATATGTTTTCAGTGCGTACTGAGAACAAGTAATGTCCCGAGTGTAACTGAACTGGTCATGTTTATGTTGCTCACTTAAATTTAGTTTTTAATTACTTGTACAAATAGTTTAATTCTGCAATAAAAAAAAAAAAAAATCAGATGTGTTAAACCAGTATGTTTAGGTTACATTCTGTCATTGTTATTTAGCTGCCTCATTCATATACTCCCACCAGTGGATGATTAACACTAAAAAGATAACCATTTTTTGTACATGTATATTATTTAATCCTCATCCTAAGTATAAATTTGCAACACAGTAATAACACTGTAGGTATAGAAGTAATGCTTCCTATCAGGCATATGAAAAGATTAACACTCTACCACAGTTGATGCTGGTGTATTTATATAGAAGGCTTCTCACGTATCATTTCAGTCTATGGGAGGTAGATGTTTGTCTATGAACTGTTTTACATCCATCATCTCCTGTTTAAAGATAAGAGTATGCATTAGCTGAAGTTCTATACTAATATATATTCAGATACACTAAATCATGTTCAACATTCCAGTTATAATGAGCAGCTGGGCTACAAGTATTGAGTAATTAGCACTTGATACAGTTGTACCACTTTGCACACAGCAAGTCAAGGCTGATAACGCTTCAAGGCACTGTGCACTCAGAGGAGGTTAAATACAAGAAAAAGAGCAAAGACTACTTTATTACCCTCTCTTTCTGTCTGAAGTTGAGCAGGCAAACTACATACTAATTATCAGGTGATCTGAACAGCACCAGGCTGAGCATGGATAGGATTTGAATGTAGCTAAGGCTGCACCTTCGTGTGTACTTTAAACTTTTGCAAGTTAGCAGCAGTGTGAAAATCCAGTAGCTCCTCCTCCTAACTGTTCCGTTTCACCTACATATTTCCTTCCCTAAGGTAAAGCAATACAGCAAACTAGACTGGGAAACCAATCCATATTGAAAATAACTAATATTTTTATTAAGACTATGTTGTAAGAAAGAGCCCGTTATTAATATATTTGTGTGAAAATTCTATAATACTACTGCCTAAATGCAATACAACTGTGTGCATCCCAAAGAGGTTGTCCAAAGGTACAGTTCCAACAAGATGCAACAATCCAAATCAACAAAGTTACTGCTGATGACAAATGGCAGATCTGTTCCTTGCCTCCTCTTCTGTTTCTTGCTCCTACCATTTTTGTCCTTTGTGTGAGTTCTGATGCTTTAACTCATGACGGGTGCCAAAACTGAAGCCAGCAGTTTTTGCTGTTTTACCACGTTCAAATGGTTCAGAGAAATTTCTGATCAGCCCCAGAGCTGATCAGAGCTGAACAAGAAGGAAGAGAGTGCCACAGGGTCATAAGCCGAAGGAACTAGTCCACCCCTTTCTGGCAGCAGCAAGCCATTACATCAGCTCAGCTGCGTGTTGAGCCAGAACCATAAATATAGGATCTGAGGCTTCCTCTTCTGTATCATCAACACTCTCTCTCCCTCCCTCCCTCCCTCCCTATTCCTTCAATGGCTCCATCCATAGAACTAACAGAATTCTTTTCTTCAAAATAAAGTTGGATTTATGCTGTAAGAAACTGCCTTCCAATTCAGTGTTTTATTTATTTCTTAAGCAAGTAAGAAAAATTTTGGGGAAAAGAGAGAGTATTTTATAGACTAACAAGCCTAGTCCCTAAACTACAATCTCATGAAGAAATTCCCACTAGTCATGGATGCTTCTTCAGCCAGGCATTCAGTTACTCATTAAAATAAGCCAGTAGCATCAAGCACCTGTTATTAAAAAACACCACACACACACACACAAAAAAAAAAACCAACCCCAAACCCCACACAACACTCCACAAACAACCCCCCAAAACTCCCACCCAATATATATTTACTTGGGGGAGGGGGAGATGTAGCATACCCAGCTAAAACATTGTGTATTAAGAAGATTACCTCAATACATGAGCTATGCATCATGCCAGAGTAAGTCCTGAAGGTTACGTTGGCTGGATTTATCATACTCTTCAGCTTCTCAACAGTGAGAGAACCAAACATTAAAGGAACCAATGGGTCACAGTCCCCATGGCACTGAAGAACAGCAATATCCTTGTTGACACCGCTGATAGGGCCCTGATAGGGGTGGAATTAGAGGGGAGAAGAGAAAAAAGAGACAGTAAATAGAGGTATGAGTAACAACTTCAAGATAAAATAACCCCACGGCACTATACCTTGTGGAATGACAAGTTAAATTCTGGAGGAAAAAAAACAAAACCAAGATGTACAGTCTGCAAGTTCATCATCAATAAGCTCTGTCCCTGACAACACATTAAGTTCAAAAACCTACAAATAGAATTGTGGCACTAATTTCAGAACAGAATATCATGATCTTTGGACAAGTAAATAAACCTGTTACTTCGTTTAAATACCTAGTCTCTAATAAGATAGTGTCTTGAAGATGGAACAAACGGCCAACAAAATTAATATTCAATGAAAATTTGCTGAATCCTTTTCCATTTCCTAGCAATGTAATTTTAAGCAGAGATAGCTACTGAGTATTTCCTCATTTTCCCTATTTGCCAAACTCTAGAACTCCAGGGCCTTTTGAGTTATCAAACAAGTACCAATATTCAGTAATAGCAATGGCCACTAATTCCTGCACAAGATACAATCTTCAGATATACCCATTCCCCAAGTGCACATTAGCTTAGGAAAAAAACAAGTACCTGAGGAAAAGAAGCCCGCAGAGGAAGCCAACAGCTGAGGGCTACAACACCTGCTAATTTCTGGTGTGTTGTAAGAGCTGTATACAATGATAAAGCACCTCCCTAAGATAAAGAGATACAAGTATTAGAATGGTGACTGTAATATTCCTTTTAATGCTTGTTTCAAGATGTCTGGTTTCTCCTTTAAAGGTATTTTTCTATTCCAATCTGTTCTCCTTTAGAACCAACACTAAAATGAGTATTCCTGGACAACATTTATTTTGCTCCCTGTCCCTGCTCCCCCCACATTATCACTACTTGCAGAGACTGGGGAGTTGGTTTATAGACCAAATAATCTATTAACCTACCCACCACAGATGTCTTTAAAGTCTGAAGGGAAGAATTTCCCAAATAAATCCAGAACATCAAATATCTACCAAATTAAAGTTATATTAAAAATACTAACAAGATTTTCAAGCAAAGCTACATATGTTACATGCATTAAGACTTTAAACAGACTATTCATTTTAGTATCTTTTTCCACAAGCATGTTCATTTTCCAGGGAATAGTAATTATTTGCCTAAAACTAAAAAAAAAAAAAAATTAATTTCTTAAGGCAAAAGAAAATTGACACCTTAAAATTTTAGGAGCACATAACATCAACTTTTTTCTCTTCATTGTCTAGATTTCCCATGTTAGGAAAGCTAGGTTACTTCCCTAGAAAAAGACAGGTCTTTCCAACTATACCTTACCTGAGAAAAGCCTCCCAGAATAATTCTATTAGAAGGAATTCCATTTTTTACTTCTTGATCTATCAGTGCTTTAACTGCAACATAAATAAAGATAAGTAGTTAAAAAACGCTCTGTAAGGCCTAGAAGAGGGAAGAGACCTCCCTGATGTCAATAGAAAGCTAGTGAAAGGAAACTATAGTCTGCTATACATTAAAAAGTATCAAAAGATCTTGAGCATGATCAGAAATTCCAGTGCCACTCTACCATTTCCAAGGAGAAAAACAGGCAAGCCTTGCAAAAGCCCCACTGCCAGAAGGATGGTATCCTCTTCTAACCATCCAGCATCACAAGTGCATGCTTGTAAAGCTCTAACCTGCTATGCTACTCAGAAGCTCTTGAAAGAAAAAGTACACTGGTTCCCATGTACGTTTCATATTTGAGAGTATGAAGTGTTTATAGTGGTGCATTGATCTATTTACTCATTTGGTTTTAAATACAAAACCAACAAACCAAACAAAAAACCCAAACAATGCACTTAGGTAAACTTTGATCAGCAATAATACAATATATACATATAATTTTCCCTAATAATTTTGTTTTCATAAAATCTGTTTCAGACTGATACTCTATTTTTAAGAATACAAGAAGCACTTTTATGACACAAAAAGCACTCCTAAGCATACCATTCTCTGCTGCCTGCTTGATCCCAGCTTCATCTTCCTGTGAATCTGGAGAAAGTCCAATGATATCAAACCTTACAAAAATATCAGCAAGAGCGTTACTCATTAGAGAATCCATTCCACTTCTTTAAAACACAAATAACAAAACTGGATAATTTCCACATAAAAATGCTAGCTAACATATTATTTTGTACCAACCACCCAGAGTTTACAAGAAATAATGAACAACCTGTGCATGTGACTAAAAGGCTACATCTAGTCAACAAAGATTCTCTGAGTTCTGATATCTTCTGTAACTTGCTGCAGATTAAGCAGCTCAGTTTTGACATTTGCTCCAA